ATGTATTCTCAAAGTCACTAGATCGTGTACAAATTCAGTAAAAGCGTAAAATTTAAGATTTAATTATGCTGGTGTTGGTGGATATAGGTTTCTATATAAAGTACTTTGATATCAAATTTATTGGTTTCAGGAAAATTGGTATCTTTAAAAACTGTTGTATCTAAAAAGTCAATGCTATTTTTGCTAAGATTTGCAGTTAATTTTACAGAAGGGTGGTAAGAGTTGAGATTGTTGAAATATTCCCGAAATTCATAGCATATGAACCCTTTACCCATGGTAGTTCCTGAGGTCAGTAAATATAAAATCATTCCGTCTAAGGCATATATCTAAAAGGTTAAGAATTTCATCATCAGGTCTATCAAAGTCAGTAGAAATGTAATTTATTGGAATTTTCAACATCCTGATATCATGATTTATTAATAAGTTTTCGTTTTATTAGTGAAAATGAAGATAAGTTGAAATTAATTTGATTAGAAGGTGAATCGACAAAACCCCATACTTCGCAACCATAGTTCAATACTGGTGAAACTAATGAATTGAGGCCAATGCCTTCAGACCTTGATCTGAAAGTCTACTTAGAGTTGCCTGTGCGGAAAACATCTACCTTTATTATATCCACATTTATTTCCAAATTCAAAGTATTGCAGTATGACTGAAATTTTTTCAAAAGTTTCTTCATCATAGATTCTGACTTTCAAATATAACAGTGTCATCCGCAAATAAAATAATATATAAAAGATAACTATTGAATCTAACTATGTCAGATGAAAATCCAGTATGCATAAAATCATTTATATCATACATGATGCTTCACTCCAAGATAACTGTTAAAGATGGGTTCTCTTATTTTATTATATGAATAGAAAGTAGAGGTGCTCTAATGACTCTAAATACCAGTTTGTCTCACATGTCCATAATTAATTAATAATTAGCTAAATTAAAAGAGAATTACCAGCAGAAGTCCAATGAGTGACCGATCATGTACAAACTTGGACATTATGCGGGATGCATATTTTTAAATCTGAATAATTCCTATTTTGGTTAGTTCAAAAAGTCGTCTATCAAATGAAGGCACAATATAACTTTCCGTTATCATTTAAGACAGAAGAGATTTTTCCATGTAAGATAAAGATGGCATCTATTGTGCTTTTACCCCTTATGAATCCAAACTGAAATATTGGAATCATATCATTTTCTTCAACCCAGTTAATATAATCTAGAATTTATGGTATTTGAATATTTTATCAATTTATAACCCTGGAGTTATCAGGATTATCAAGATTACCCTTTTTAGGAATAGGTATTAGTATCCCTTTAAACCATGATTTAGGGTAATCATTATTATCCAGAATATAATTAAATATTTTTAATAGAAGGGGTATTAACAGTGTCGCACCACCAATGAAAAAATCTAGTGGAAGATCATTTTTGCCTCAACTTTTACCACGTTTTAATTTTTCGCTTGATTTTAGAATTTCTTCATCAGTGATGTAGATGCTTAACCCAGTATACCCTTAAAGTGTTCGTATAAGTCTTTTGTTTCAAGTTTAGATTTAGTTTTACTAGTAGAGCTCTTAAAGTAGGACCAAAACTAGTTATTTTTGGTTAAATTACATACTTTTAAGTTAGAAATTCTTTCTATATTTGTATTTCTTAACCTTTTTAAACCAATTATATTTATTTCGAGTTTCGTTATATAGAATTTTTATATACATTTTTTTTCTGTTAAACTTATTTGGGAATGGAATAAACCAAATTTTTCTGAATCCCAATTAGTAAAAAGTAACTGTTTTTGGGTATTGATTCATTTTCAATCACTTTATTGACCTCTAATTCAGTCATAAAAGTAATTGGTTCGTGATCTGAAAATATTTGGTGGTAAAATGATTTTGGAATGAATTTGGAATAAGCAAATAATCAATGACACTCTGGCCCAATTTAGAGCAGAATGTCAATGTCATACCCAAATCTACCATTTGCAATCATGAAGTTTATTGATTTTCTTAAATTCAAAATACATTTACCCCGTCTATTTACTATTCTATCTTTGGAAACCTTTGGACGTATTTCAGATTTATCAACATTATTACAACATTGATTATTGTCAATTTGAACATATGATTCTAAGTCATTGTAAAGAACATCGGATATTTCTCCAGTTCTGCCGTTAAAATCACCAAAACATAACGTCAGCATATTTGGAATATTCACTTATCAAATCTTCTATGATATCGAAAAAATTTTCATCTATATCTTTAAATACTTTGGAGTGTTCAGGGGGTATATATACCAAAAATATGTTGTAGAGAAATCTGCCAGATTTCAGTAACTCTTTATAAATTTTTGTTACAAGAATTCCAATATCTATAGTTTAAACTACGTGATAGTATTGTTCAAACTCTGGTTTTAAATACAGTGCTATACCACCACAAATGTTTTGGTTCTTTTTTCTAACTCCTCGGTTTATTCACAAATTCTTCTTGTTAAAGCATCGTTTATGTAAAGTTTGTTTACATGGTCATTGTCTTCATTGCTTTTAGTTCTAGGCCTTTTTGAAGTTTTGCTCTTATGGTTGTTTTTGCTTTGAACCATTCTTTGACATACAATTATATGTGCTATCATGAAGATTAGATTATATAGAAAGACAATAAAACTTACATATATCACATACAGTTAGAATGCTTTCCTTATAGAGAATCATTTTCCTTTCCACTGTACATTTAAGGTTAAACTTGAAGTAAATCACAGAGATTTTTTACACACTTCTCCCTGGCGGCCATCTTTATGGTATTATTAGAGTAAATATTCACGACGAGGATACTTTAAATTAAAGGAATCTATTTTACAAAGTTAAAATTTACAAAACACTATTTCTTACTTTTGGGGGTTTGGCAAGACCAAAAACTTTTTCAGAATTACCTAAATTGGTGAGAGGAGGGCAAGATTATTTGGCTATTCTATGCAAAGAAAGAAAAAGAGAACTCGTTTGTAAATAAGGGGGTGTACATAAGAGCAAAAACTGATCATGTTATTATCGATGAAGAAAATGTACATATGTATAAAGACATAGTGATAAAAAATGTAAAAATATTATATTAAACTGGAAAATTTAAGGGGGGATGTAATTACAAACCGGGAGGGTATTTTAAAAATAATTTACGAACATGACGTTCACAACTATCTTTCTGTCCACTGACACCCCTCACCGACACTGATCTATCCCTCATAAATGACACTTTCTTTACTAAAGATGAAATTTTAGTGGCAATTAAGGACTTTCAGAATGGTAAGACTCCAGGGATTAATGATTTAAGTAAAACCTTTTTATGAAGAAAATTTGGGATGTTTTAGGTCATGATCTTTGTGAACTTTTTAACAATATATTTTTTCAAGGGGAATTGACTAAAACCATGAGGCTTATAAGGGGGAGGGACAGACAAGACTACTGAAAAACTACCGACCTATTTCTTTACTCTGTTCTGACAATAAGATTATCACTAAAATTCTAGCTAAAGCCCAACGCAGACGAGGAACATTTTAAGCGAACAATCGTAAAAATTTTGTTTCGATCATTGTTTTCACCGTCTGCTGATTACAGAAACACGAACAAACAGGTTCGTGAAATCAAACATATTTGATTTTTTAACGAACATTAGCGCTGAACATTCATCGACGAAAGACCAGCGATCGAAGCCAGACCAAATGACACTCAAAATGGCGACGTCCAGTGAATCCACCAACACAAAATTTTGGACTGTGGAGAAGGAGCAGATTTTAGTAGATATGTGGTCGCAATCTGCCTGTTTGTTTATGATTTCTTCGCCCGACTATTCAGATAGGAACAAGAAGTACGCTGCGATTCAAGAAATAGCACAAGCCCTGGAAACAACCGATAAATTTACCTCCTTTCGTCAGACCTCGTGTGACTGTAATGTATTCTGTGCCAACATCGATAAAAACTTAAAATCTTCCAATAAAAGGAGATATTGTGATGAATCAAAATTATTCTTTTATCTTTTTGGCTTTTATTTACTTTGCAAAATTTAATTAACCTTTGGCTTACTTCACATTGCTCCCGTCTTCGTCCCTTATTTACTTTTCTTGTTTATATCATTATCCTTATTTATTTTTATCATTTGTACATATTCATTATTAAATCCGTAATTTTTATTATTGTCACGTAATTTCACGCTGCTGCGAGATAACGGTTACCTGCGATCTCGCGAGATTTTCTCGCTATATAAACACAAGCAGACGAATGATTCTTCAGAAAGAGAGAGAGAAAGAGAGTGTGCTCTCAGCAGGTTAGAAGTCTTTCTCTATGAGCTATACCCCGAAGGTCCTATGTGACTAGCTTTATCGGCGGTACCTCATTACCCAATTTTTATCGGGCGGTCCTTTGTGATTATTCTTACCAGTGTTAATTCTTTTATTCGGCATTTTCTGGATGATCCTTTGTGATTTGTGATATTCCAGTATAATTTAGTGCGGTATTTTTAATGTGTGTGCCACCCCAAATATTTTGGGTTATTGTGCATTGTTTTTATTATACGTGATTGTGATTTTGTGCCACTTTGTGAATAGGACAGTGCTTTGGTTCGTGGTTCCTATTTTAGACCAATTCAATTTGTGTATAGGACTGTGCTATGTGATTCATGTTATGCAATTTGTGTCTCGTAGCAGCGCCCATTTATTTTTATTAACACCATTTTTCATAACGTGTATCGTCGTATTTGAATGTAGATAATTGATATCTTCATATATAAAGTTTTAAACACTTGTTTCTTTGATTGACACTTTTGAGCTGACAGTTGCTTAACGGAGAGATTTTTGCGTGATTCTGGGGCTGTATAGCAAAACCCCAACCCCAGATTAATAAATCCAGTTACACGCTACATATAGGGTTTTCTTGGTGGCAGAGGTGGGATAAGTGATATCTCAATTCTCAAACAAAATATTCGGTGGTTTCTGGAGAAACGCCCTGTGCTTGGATGACAGACATGACTAGACATACCTTACTTGACATGGACTTTACAAATATGTGTGACCCCACCCCTGTGTTGTGTCCATCTGATAACCAGCAATATGAAGCCAATGCCTGTGCCCCAAACGATAGCCCCGGATCATCAAACCCTCCACGTACTGTTTCGTCTAAAGAGGCGCCATCTAGTAACTTAGAAGCGACTATACTGCATCAGTTATCAACAGTAGTGGAACAATTGGAACTTCAAAGAAAGAGAATTGACGAAATTGCAGCTACAAAAACATCGCCCGATTCTGTGAATAATATGTCTAATAGTGAACAAGTAGTGAATACAAATGGGGCAGGGTACGTGGTAGGCAGAATCAGTGGTGACTTTGCTGCAAAATTATGTGAAAACTTGTCTAAAACTAGATGTGAGTCCGGGGGGTGGTTACAACAAATCAAACAACGTTACGTTTGGGCCGAATTCTGGTGAATATAATTTTGTTCCTAGTGTAACATCTACACCGAATACTAGATGTGACGTCTCCGGGTCTGTGTACCGTAAACCTGTGAGGACGCCCCAAGCTTATGATGGTAGTACATCCTTCATGGACTACAGGTGCCATTTTCAACTTTGTGCTCAACTTAATAATTGGAGTGAAAATGAGATGGCTTTACATTTAGCCACAAGTTTAAAGGGCAGTGCCCAGAAAGTGTTGACGTCGTTAAAGGTGGAAGATCGTTTAATTTATTCAAATGTTATCGGTGCTTTAGAAGACAGATTTTTACCCCAAAATCAGTGTCAATTATATAGAGCCCAATTGAAGGCCCGGAAAAGGAAACCAAAAGAAAGTCTGGGGAAGCAGTAAAGCGTTTGGTGACAATGTCATATCCATCTGCTGATAGTGAATTACTTCAAATTTTAGCAAAGGATGCCTTTTGTGATGCTCTTTGTGACGATCGAGATATGGTGTGGCAGATTCAGAGAACCAGACCAACAAATGTTGAGGATGCTGTAAGGTTAGCCGTAGAGTTAGAGGCACACCGTTCCGCCTGTGACACTCAGCCAGGGAAAATCCGAAGTGTAGATACACCACCTGAGTTAGTTGAGCTACAAAATATGAAGAAGAAAATCAGTGATATGAACGCGTCAATAGAGAAGTTCAAAAGTGACCAACGAAAAATGAGTGTGGTAAATACAAAACAACCTGAGCATAAAAACCAATCTCCAGGTAATACCAATAATTATAACACCAGTAGAGGGGCGACAAATGGAAATGGAAGTGCCAGTTTTAGAAATCAGCGCTATGACCATAACAACAGGTGGCACCATGCTCGTTCGGGTCATGGTAGTCGTGCAAATAAAAGAGCCTTTGGCACCCCCAATGAAACTGGTCTTCACATAAAGAGTATCATACAATCAGTGAATGTAAATGCCCTTATTGATACTGGGGCTACAATAAGTTTCTTATCAAAGAAGTCCTTCGATTCTATTCCACGAAATAATCGACCAGAACTAAAATATGTGGCTGCTAGATATAGTACAGCGAACGGTGGGCTTATGGCGATTTATGGCAAAGCTGATTTTTTAATTGAAATCTATGGTCATAACTATCCCCATACATTGGTTGTAGCTGACATTGGCTCTCAGTGCATTCTTGGACTGGATTTTATGAATGCCAATGAAGTCACCATCAATCTAAAAAGAAAGACGATAACGTTGAATGGTAATACATACGAAACTCATCTAGAAGAACCTGGTATATGTCGTGTGTCTCTGTGTGAAAATACATGTGTTCCATCTGGACATGAGGTGGTTGTTAATGGATATATCCCTTTGGAATGTGTCAAATGAGTTAAGTATCGGGATGTAATGATGGAGCCCATTGAACGTCTGTATAAAGAAAAGCGAATCTTGTCGGCTAAAGCTATTTGTTATATAAATGATGATAACCCTTGGGTACCAGTGAGGTTATTCAATGCAAATGATTATGATGACTTTGTTTATAAAAACACCTCGGTTGGTGACTTAGTTCCAGTAAGAGTGGTTGAGACTGAGAGAGTATCCCAAACACCCAATATTTGCCCAGAGTTGCCACCTCATGTTCTGGACTTGTGGGTTAGAGCTTGTGAGGGGTTGGATCGAGAGCAATCTAGGCAGATCGAGCACTTACTTACAAGACATCATGATCTGTTTGCCTCTTCGTCTGCAGATCTTGGAAAAACAGGACTTGTGAAACACACAATAAATGTTGGCCAAGCTGAACCAATAAAGCAAAGACCCAGACGGGTGGCAATTCACCAAAGGATAGAGATGGATAAGATGGTAGAGGAAATGATGGCCAATGGGATTATTGAACCATCAAGTGGGCCGTGGGCTAGTCCAGTGGTGTTAGTGAAGAAGTCTGACGGAAGTTTGAGATTTTGTGTGGACTATAGGAAATTAAACTCTTTGACTGTTAAGGACGCATACCCCTTACCCCGTATTACCTGTTGGATATACTGTCTGGTGTTCAGTGGTTGTCGACCATGGATTTAGCAAGTGGCTACTGGCAGATCGAGGTGGACCCAAGTGATCGACCAAAAACCTCGTTTACAACTTTTAAAGGCCTTTACCAGTTTAAAGTCATGCCCTTTGGTTTATGTAACGCACCAGGAACCTTTGAGAGGCTAATGGAATCTGTTCTTCAAGGATTGCAATGGGAAGTTTGTTTGGTGTATCTTTTAACCGATTACGAGAGGCTGGTCTGAAACTGAAGGCTTCAGAGTGTTATTTGTTTCGTGATGAAGTGAAATATTTAGGACATGTTGTGTCAGCTGATGGGATCTCAACAGATCCAGCCAAGATTCAATGTGTTAAAACCTGCAAAAGACCTATAAATTTAACCGAAGTGCGCAGTTTTGTGGGGTTGTGTAGTTACTATCATATTCATTCCACAATTTTCAGCTATAGCTAAACCTTTAAATAGACTCACTGAAAAGGGTAGAGAGTTTATTTGGACAAAAGAGTGTGAGGAAGCCTTTAATACCCTTAAGCACAAACTTACTGAAAGTCCTGTTCTGGCGTATCCTGACCCAAACAAGCCTTTCATTGTGGATACTGATGCTAGTGGTTATGGAATTGGAGCTGTGGTGTCTCAAGTTTTTAATGGAGTAGAACGTGTCATAGCTTAAGGTAGTCGTTCCCTCACTAAAGCTGAGAGAAATTATTGTGTTACGCGTAAACAACTTTTGGCCGTTGTGTACTTCGTGAAATACTTTAAGGCCTATCTCTATGGAAAACAATTTACTCTCAGAATGGATCATGGAGCATTAAGGTGGCTGTTAAACTTTAAAAATCCCGAAGGTCAGGTAGCACGTTGGATCGAACAGTTAGCCCAATTTAATTTTGAAGTTATACATAGAGCAGGCCGAGTACATAATAACGCCGATGCGTTGAGTCGAAGACCATGTGTTCAGTGTGGAGTTGGTGATGAAAATACAGAAGAATGTGACGGGTTAGTAGGACTTATAGGTATTGATACTAATGTCATAAGGAAGATGCAAGGAGATAAAGAGGTTGGTTCCATTAAGACCTGGGTTGAATCGAGAATTAAACCAAAGTGGAGAGATGTATCTCCCAAGAGCCCGTTTGTAAAGAAAGTTTTAACAAAGTGGGATTCCTTGGTAATTGAAGATGGAGTTCTGATCCTGGAGCAAACTAAGTTTGATGTTGTATTGAAACATGTTGTGGTTCCAGAAAGCAGACAGAAAGAGGTTTTGCACCTTACACATGACTTGCCCACAGGAGCTAATCTTGGAATCAGTAAGACAGAGGAGAAAATTAAACAAGGTTATTACTGGCCAGGGTTGAAGCAGGATGTACAAGATTATATAAATTCGTGTAAACAATGTGCTGCGATAAAGATGAGGAAGAGAAAGGCACCATTGTCTTCCTATGCTGCAGGTGCGCCCTTTGAGAGGATTGCGATAGATATCGTTGGACGGATTGATCCACCCACGGAGAGCGGAAACCGTTATATTCTCGTTATCTGTGATTATTGCACTAAATGATGCTTTCCCAATAAAAGATATTGAGGCAAGAACCGTGGCAACTACTCTAGTGGAAAAGTTTATCTTGTCTTTTGGAATTCCAAGACAAATTCATAGTGATCAAGGCACACAATTCGAAAGTTCCGTGTTCCAAGAAATGTGTCGTATGTTAGGAATTCATAAAACAAGAACAACTCCATACCGTCCCCAGTCCAACGGTCAGGTGGAACGGAATAACAGAACCATTAAAAGCATGTTGTCGTCGTTCGTACAACAGAAGGGTGACCATTGGGATACGTATTTACCATATGTGATGTATGCCTACAGAACCAGTAAACACGACACCTCTGGTGTTACACCTAATTACGCCATGTTTGGAAGAGAGTTCAACACTCCGCTCGATCTTCAGTTTGGTCGTCCACCACAGACAGTAAAAGAGCAACATGTGTGGAATAAAACTTTAAGGGACAGGCTCATCTTTTGTCACCAATTTGTTCGTGACCAGATCCAGGTGGAGACTAAACGTCAGAAAAACTATTATGATCACAGGAATGGAAAAGACGATCTGAAGTCAGGTGATAAAGTGTGGCTTTTTACACCAACATTGACGCCCAGTATTCCCAACAAATTCGCGAAACGATGGAAAGGACCATTTGAAGTTGTGCAAAAGCTCAGTGACATAACGTATGAGATTGAAGATGGTACCTTCTAGACGTAAACAGGTGGTTCATGTAGATCGGTTAAGTATATACAACCAACGTGATGAAGAATCTGACAGTGATGCACCATGTGAACCGATAGACGACTTCCTTGACAGTGACGTCAATGTAGATGCCGATAGAGATGCGTCATGTGAACCGATAGATGACTCTCCTGACAGTGACTATTGTGATAGTAATGTGGGTGGCGATAATGCGGAATCGTTAAATGTCCAGGGTTTTGCT